AAAGAATGTAAATTAAGTTACAAAAAAAAAAGTTTCAGAAAAAAAAAATCCATTCGATGACTGCAGTAAGATAATATAGCCCCAGCTAGGTGCTACCTTATAGGATGCCTAAAGTTAGACTTGTGTTCATGGAAATGTATGTATCAGCTGTGTTTGCTATGAAAATATTTAGATTAACTAAGATCTTTAGTAATTCAATAAAAAATAAGATATATAGCCCCAGCTAGGTGCTACTTTATAGGATACCTAAAGTTAGACTTTTGTTCATGCAAATGTATGTATCAGCTGTGTTTGTTATGAAAATATTTAGATTAACTAAGATCTTTAGTAATTCAATAAAAAATGGGGGGAAAACAGTATAGAAAGTAAACATAGATACCAGAGACAGTGTGGGAAGAGTATGGGAGATGGCAGAGGGTAAGAGATAGGGAATCGAGGATGGGGGAAAAGCAAAACATGGAACTAGAAATAGAAAATTATTTGTTGACAATAATGTATGTTGATGTGCTTGATTGAGACAATATACAGTGTACTCTGGATGGAAAATCTCATTTTGTACGCTGTAATGATGTACAGTGAATGAACTTAAACAAATAAATTTAAATAAGACAAAAAAAAAAAAAAAAAAGATAACGAACGTGGCCCATTTCATGTTACGTGTCTTTTACCGCAGTGGGAAAAATAACAGGGCTCCAAAGCCTACAGGTTTAAAACAAAAACTGACCACTGAGCTTTTTAATCAACGCTTACCACCTCACTTCCATAAAGTATTGTGAGTTCTCCGTTTGTCTGCACAATGTCGTCCCAAGAGAAGCGAACGTATTACCTCTTGGATTTCCTTTTCCAGCAGCTCCACTCTCTCTCGGAGGTGCCTCCTCTCTGTGTCAATAGAAAGGAGTTCCAGGCGAACTGAGCTGCTTTCTCCCTCGGCTTGATGGGCTTTGACCTCCCAGTCTTCAGCACGGTTATGAAGCATCTGAAATCGATCTAACAAATCCTGATTTTCTTGTTCCTAGTTTGATCATAATGAAACGGTTTCTGAATTAGTAAGTGTCACACACTGAATACCCGTGCTACATACATACACCCACATACTGGGAATGCTAAATGCATGCACGTGCTGGGAATTCTGTTATAACTCAGAGAGCTTTAGGCCCCGCAGCCTTGCTTCTGTGCAGGGGCTATATACTAAGACCTCAGGGCAAATATAAAAACATGGCCGGTGAGATCCTCACTCTCAAATGCTTAAAACCTCATAGCAAAGGCAGGATAAACAGGTATAATTTTCTTTTAAATCAGTCTTAAATCCAACCTAATATGTCTGTCACCTTAGCAGCCATTAAGCTCTCCCAGCGCGACACCTCGGTTATGTAACTGTGAACCCTACTCTTCATTTCTTCTTTTTCTTGTACTGCTGCTTCCAATTCCAATGAGATTTCCTATAAACCAGAAGATAGAAGACAAATCTAAAATAAACACCGAATGAGTTCTAGCTATGTGCAAACAGCTCCTTTGGAATTGGGGAATAAGAGAGTAAGAAAAACAAAACAAAACTGCTCTTAAATGTTATTTTCACATATTTCTTCTGGCTGATCTTGACTTTTTAACCAAACTTTACCACATCTTTACCAAAAGAGTCCTGACCATGTACCTGAAACTTACATTAAGGTCCAGACATGGTTGAGGGTTGGCATTAAAATCATGTATGAGCAATATACTTTATACTAAATATCAAAAGTAATTAAAAAGTATATTGCCAGAAGGACTGGCAGGTGGTGCGGTAGTTAAGGTGCTAGACTCCCACATGGTTGTCCATGGTTCGAGTTATAGACCTGCTGGCTTGCTTTCTCACTTTTCCTCTCTCTGGTCAAATAAAAATAAATAAACAAATAATATTAAATATATAACTTGGGGCCAGTCAGTGGTGTGTTAGCAGGGGCGCTGGATTTCCACATGGCCAGTCGTGGTTCAAGTCCCAGACCTGGCGATTTGAAAATCATGACAAATAAATAAATACATTTAATAAAAAAAAAAAAAAAATTGAGACAGAGATTGGAAGATAAGAAAACACACACACACACACACTCACACACCACACACCCACCCCATCCCTTCTTCTCCATTTCTCCATCCTATCCAGATTTTGGGCAGGCACACACACATAAACAGCATGATTTTTAAGTCACTGGTTCTGGAATGTGAACTGCGTGGTTTGTCATGTGGGATCTGGTTCCCTCAACCAGTAGGCATGAGGCCGGCCCTGAAAGTAACTTTTTAAAAACAAAATATTTAAACAGCAAAATCATTGTTCTTCTTGATACAATCCTTTAATAGACCAAGACAAACAAAAGCATCACCTTTCAGTATCTGTCATTAAAACATTAATTTATTTATAAATAGATCTCTAAGCCAATGGAAGTAAGCACAGTGATTAAAACTTATCAGGGGTCTTGAAAACACACACGCTTCACCCTGTGAGTGAAGCTGAGGTCCTTGCTGTTCACAGAACAGTGACCAAGACTTTTTTGCCACAGAGATTTCCAAGCCCCCCGTGTTAGGTTTTCCTGCAACACAGACCAAAATGGCGAGGAATCCACCGCTATGTCCGTTATGTGCCTGTGACACAGAACAGCATTCTCAACTGAATTCTTAACATCTTGAGAACACCAGTCTCCTTAAAGACAGATTTATGTTGCTTATATTGACATTGATATGACCAAATTTTAGAAAAAATGTTTAGGATATTATAAAACCACCAGCTTATGCACTGTGTCCATACCTGGTTTTCTCTCGCCATTGTAGCCAGGTCATCTTGTAGCCGTCTGTTCTCCTTGAATGACATCTCCCTGGACCGCCCCACCTCATCGAGCTCTTTGTGAGCCACATCCAGCTGGCGCCGGAGGCTGCTGATCTCGCGGTCTCGACTGGTCAGTGTGTCCTTTAGCTTGCTGGAAAATGAGTGAGGTGGAAAATATTAGAGAAAGCTGGTTAAAAACTGTAATTTATTTGAAAGAAAACTGTTGTGGACTGAATTAAGCACACTAACAACACAAGAAATTACACCTGCTGCATTAAAATGTCGAATCATTAGGTAAAGCAGATTTTCTAATCTCTAGCAATTATTTCATGCAAATGAAGTAAAAAATAAATTACTCCAAAAGCCAAATAAAAAACAGAAAACCATCACGTGTTAAACACAAAAGATTGGGTTGCTGGAAAAGTCATGATGCGTTTTTCCATAGAAAAACAAAAAATACATCATGACTTTTTCAATGACCCAGTATAATAGATTCAATTACATATACTTATTGAATGTTTATGGTCCCACTATTATATAAAATGTAAAGACATGTAAAATAAATATAAAGAAGAGTCAGCAGGTGACATGGTGGTTAAGGTGCTGGGCTTCCACATGGCCAGCTGTGGTCTGAGACCTAGACATGGCAGCCTGCTTTCTCACTTTCTTTCTTTCTTTCTCTCTGTCTCTTTTTCGGTCTCTTTCTTATGACCGTGCGTGCCCTGTAGCAAATTTAAAAATAATTGGGATCTGGTTCCCTCAACCAGTAGGCATGAGGCCGGCCCTGAAAGTAACTTTTTAAAAACAAAATATTTAAACAGCAAAATCATTGTTCTTCTTGATACAATCCTTTAATAGACCAAGACAAACAAAAGCATCACCTTTCAGTATCTGTCATTAAAACATTAATTTATTTATAAATAGATCTCTAAGCCAATGGAAGTAAGCACAGTGATTAAAACTTATCAGGGGTCTTGAAAACACACACGCTTCACCCTGTGAGTGAAGCTGAGGTCCTTGCTGTTCACAGAACAGTGACCAAGACTTTTTTGCCACAGAGATTTCCAAGCCCCCCGTGTTAGGTTTTCCTGCAACACAGACCAAAATGGCGAGGAATCCACCGCTATGTCCGTTATGTGCCTGTGACACAGAACAGCATTCTCAACTGAATTCTTAACATCTTGAGAACACCAGTCTCCTTAAAGACAGATTTATGTTGCTTATATTGACATTGATATGACCAAATTTTAGAAAAAATGTTTAGGATATTATAAAACTACCAGCTTATGCACTGTGTCCATACCTGGTTTTCTCTCGCCATTGTAGCCAGGTCATCTTGTAGCCGTCTGTTCTCCTTGAACGACATCTCCCTGGACCGCCCCACCTCATCGAGCTCTTTGTGAGCCACATCCAGCTGGCGCCGGAGGCTGCTGATCTCGCGGTCTCGACTGGTCAGTGTGTCCTTTAGCTTGCTGGAAAATGAGTGAGGTGGAAAATATTAGAGAAAGCTGGTTAAAAACTGTAATTTATTTGAAAGAAAACTGTTGTGGACTGAATTAAGCACACTAACAACACAAGAAATTACACCTGCTGCATTAAAATGTCGAATCATTAGGTAAAGCAGATTTTCTAATCTCTAGCAATTATTTCATGCAAATGAAGTAAAAAATAAATTACTCCAAAAGCCAAATAAAAAACAGAAAACCATCACGTGTTAAACACAAAAGATTGGGTTGCTGGAAAAGTCATGATGCGTTTTTCCATAGAAAAACAAAAAATACATCATGACTTTTTCAATGACCCAGTATAATAGATTCAATTACATATACTTATTGAATGTTTATGGTCCCACTATTATATAAAATGTAAAGACATGTAAAATAAATATAAAGAAGAGTCAGCAGGTGACATGGTGGTTAAGGTGCTGGGCTTCCACATGGCCAGCTGTGGTCTGAGACCTAGACATGGCAGCCTGCTTTCTCACTTTCTTTCTTTCTTTCTCTCTGTCTCTTTTTCGGTCTCTTTCTTATGACCGTGCGTGCCCTGTAGCAAATTTAAAAATAATAATAATGACAAATGGAATTAAATAAATAACTCTAAAAAGCAATAAAGAACAAGTAGGTATAGAATAAGAGAACATCTAATAGGATACAGGCGTTTTGATGTGTATGACGGAGGGAGGGAGTGGGTCAAAGAGGATAACATCTTCTGAAGGAAGCAAGAAAATGATGCTGCCATTGGCAAAGATGAAGAAAAAGGAAAACTTCTCATTGCTGGATTGCTATTAAAAACAGATAAAGCTGTAATCACTGAAAATTTCTCAAAAAGCTGGCTGCATCTCACTCATTACTTACTTCATAGATGATTCATACTCTGAGACTGTTATCTTTATCTGAGCAATAGCTTTTTCCTAAAGAAATCATAAAAAATATGTAAGATTCTGGACAATTCATATAGAAATCTCTTTAATTTATGTAATTCATCACATTTATATAGTTCAAATATAAATTATTCCATAAAACAAGCCCCAAGGAAAGATAATTCCAGGCTCCAACTGTATGTCACATATGACCATGCCTCCCCTGCACCCTTGGGCCCTGAACGATGCTTTACGAAAGATGATAAAATCACATTCTAGAAATAGATTAAAAACCACATTTTGAAGATTCAAATTACTGAGATAAATGAAATTTAAATATATTAGAAGACATGGCCCTGGGCCTTAGGAACTTGTTATATAGGGATAAGAATTGTATATTCGAAACTGAATAAAACTATCTTTTCTGTTGAGATGCTGGAAAGTGACATTTAATAGTCACATACTTTATTAGCCAGATTATCTTGCAGGCTTGCAATCTTTTCTGTCTTTTCATCTACTGTCTCCTGAAGAAAGTCTTTTTCTTTATCAATAACGCTGATGGTCTTTTTCATTATATGGGCCTCCTCATCTTGGGAAGTTATCTTAAGGTTCAGTTTATCTATAAATAAAAAGAAATGTTTGTTAGACAAGTATATTAGCATTAGCAAAAACAAAGTATAACGACACTTACCTATGTTTTCCTCCAGCGCTGTGATCTGCGCCTGGGCTGACTCCAGTTCACTTCTCTTCATGGAAAGCCGGTGCTGATAGTCATCGAGTGACCGCTGCAGCTGCTCATTTACCGCCCTGAAAAACCAGTGGACAGAACAAATGGCGTTCTCGATCTCTCAGACAGAAGGTTTTTAAATGAGAAGTCTTATAAATTCTTCACTTATTTTTAAAATTTCTACTATTTCTTATTTTACAACTCTTCCAGTATAACCAATGGCATTATATTACATATTATTTCTTGCCATCTACCATTCTTCGCCAAAATGGTTTCGTCTTCCTAAAAATAATAACTAGACAAGTCAAATTAGTTGTATACTCTCTTCTAGAAGCTTCTGGGTAGTTTTGAAGCTCTTCTAACTTTCCTAATAAGAACCACTGTTCCTTTAAATCTAGTTTCAATGGTGGAGGCAAAGAGAAAGTCCTGTGTTCTTTTTAAGTCAGGGATTCACTGGGTCACAATTCTCCTGCCTTAGCCTCCCAGGTGGCTGGGACTACAGGTGTGCGCCACCATGCCCAGCTCTTCCAGCCTGGGTCTCGCTGTTGCCCACCCTGGTCTGAGCTTGGGATCCTCCTGTGTCAGCCTCCTGAGCAGCAGGGCCTCCACGGCACACCTGGCTCATTTAGAGCCTGCTACTTCAAAGGACTATCTTTAAACACGGACCATCCTGGCCAGTGAATTTGTAATTTTGCTTCTTACTCTGACTTTTTGGATGGGGAGTCAATTAGAGATCATAACAAGCAGGAACAGCAGGCATTTCATATAGTGCAATGGAGATTTAAAACCAAAGACTGGGGCCAGCAGGTGGCATCATGGTTAGGGCACTGGATTGTCACATGTTCAACCACAGCTTGAGTCCTGGACCTGGAGGCTTGCTTTTCCATTTTTCCTGTCTCTCTCTGTGCCCTATAGTAAAAATTATAAATAAATTAATTAATTTTAAGAAGGTAAATAAATTCTAAAGAAAAAAAAAAGGGACTAACAGGTGGCATGGTGGTTAAGGTGCTAGATACTCCCATATGGCTGAGCCACAGTTCGAGTCCCAGACCTGGTGGCTTGCTTTCTCACTCTCTCTCTGTATATGTCTCTTTGCTCAAATTAAAAATAAATAAATAAATAAAAGACTAAAGACTGATTTTCAGAGAGCCAAAGAAAAAATGCACAGTGGCCAGATGTGGGACAGTGGTAAAAAACAACGTTGTGCGAGGCAATCCCACATGGGGAAGTTTCTGGTTCATGACCAGAGGCCTCCCCAAGTTGTCAGACATGTGTGCTCATGGTCTGGGGCTAGCTGAGGCTGGAGGGGAACCACGGTGTCAAGACCCTGTTAAAGGTACTCGTTCGCTCTCTCTCATGGTGTGATAAACAGATTAATTTAAAAAAGGAAAAAAGTTATTTGAAAGAAAACTGTTGTGGACTGAATTAAGCACACTAACAACACAAGAAATTACACCTGCTGCATTAAAATGTCGAATCATTAGGTAAAGCAGATTTTCTAATCTCTAGCAATTATTTCATGCAAATGAAGTAAAAAATAAATTACTCCAAAAGCCAAATAAAAAACAGAAAACCATCACGTGTTAAACACAAAAGATTGGGTTGCTGGAAAAGTCATGATGCGTTTTTCCATAGAAAAACAAAAAATACATCATGACTTTTTCAATGACCCAGTATAATAGATTCAATTACATATACTTATTGAATGTTTATGGTCCCACTATTATATAAAATGTAAAGACATGTAAAATAAATATAAAGAAGAGTCAGCAGGTGACATGGTGGTTAAGGTGCTGGGCTTCCACATGGCCAGCTGTGGTCTGAGACCTAGACATGGCAGCCTGCTTTCTCACTTTCTTTCTTTCTTTCTCTCTGTCTCTTTTTCGGTCTCTTTCTTATGACCGTGCGTGCCCTGTAGCAAATTTAAAAATAATAATAATGACAAATGGAATTAAATAAATAACTCTAAAAAGCAATAAAGAACAAGTAGGTATAGAATAAGAGAACATCTAATAGGATACAGGCGTTTTGATGTGTATGACGGAGGGAGGGAGTGGGTCAAAGAGGATAACATCTTCTGAAGGAAGCAAGAAAATGATGCTGCCATTGGCAAAGATGAAGAAAAAGGAAAACTTCTCATTGCTGGATTGCTATTAAAAACAGATAAAGCTGTAATCACTGAAAATTTCTCAAAAAGCTGGCTGCATCTCACTCATTACTTACTTCATAGATGATTCATACTCTGAGACTGTTATCTTTATCTGAGCAATAGCTTTTTCCTAAAGAAATCATAAAAAATATGTAAGATTCTGGACAATTCATATAGAAATCTCTTTAATTTATGTAATTCATCACATTTATATAGTTCAAATATAAATTATTCCATAAAACAAGCCCCAAGGAAAGATAATTCCAGGCTCCAACTGTATGTCACATATGACCATGCCTCCCCTGCACCCTTGGGCCCTGAACGATGCTTTACGAAAGATGATAAAATCACATTCTAGAAATAGATTAAAAACCACATTTTGAAGATTCAAATTACTGAGATAAATGAAATTTAAATATATTAGAAGACATGGCCCTGGGCCTTAGGAACTTGTTATATAGGGATAAGAATTGTATATTCGAAACTGAATAAAACTATCTTTTCTGTTGAGATGCTGGAAAGTGACATTTAATAGTCACATACTTTATTAGCCAGATTATCTTGCAGGCTTGCAATCTTTTCTGTCTTTTCATCTACTGTCTCCTGAAGAAAGTCTTTTTCTTTATCAATAACGCTGATGGTCTTTTTCATTATATGGGCCTCCTCATCTTGGGAAGTTATCTTAAGGTTCAGTTTATCTATAAATAAAAAGAAATGTTTGTTAGACAAGTATATTAGCATTAGCAAAAACAAAGTATAACGACACTTACCTATGTTTTCCTCCAGCGCTGTGATCTGCGCCTGGGCTGACTCCAGTTCACTTCTCTTCATGGAAAGCCGGTGCTGATAGTCATCGAGTGACCGCTGCAGCTGCTCATTTACCGCCCTGAAAAACCAGTGGACAGAACAAATGGCGTTCTCGATCTCTCAGACAGAAGGTTTTTAAATGAGAAGTCTTATAAATTCTTCACTTATTTTTAAAATTTCTACTATTTCTTATTTTACAACTCTTCCAGTATAACCAATGGCATTATATTACATATTATTTCTTGCCATCTACCATTCTTCGCCAAAATGGTTTCGTCTTCCTAAAAATAATAACTAGACAAGTCAAATTAGTTGTATACTCTCTTCTAGAAGCTTCTGGGTAGTTTTGAAGCTCTTCTAACTTTCCTAATAAGAACCACTGTTCCTTTAAATCTAGTTTCAATGGTGGAGGCAAAGAGAAAGTCCTGTGTTCTTTTTAAGTCAGGGATTCACTGGGTCACAATTCTCCTGCCTTAGCCTCCCAGGTGGCTGGGACTACAGGTGTGCGCCACCATGCCCAGCTCTTCCAGCCTGGGTCTCGCTGTTGCCCACCCTGGTCTGAGCTTGGGATCCTCCTGTGTCAGCCTCCTGAGCAGCAGGGCCTCCACGGCACACCTGGCTCATTTAGAGCCTGCTACTTCAAAGGACTATCTTTAAACACGGACCATCCTGGCCAGTGAATTTGTAATTTTGCTTCTTACTCTGACTTTTTGGATGGGGAGTCAATTAGAGATCATAACAAGCAGGAACAGCAGGCATTTCATATAGTGCAATGGAGATTTAAAACCAAAGACTGGGGCCAGCAGGTGGCATCATGGTTAGGGCACTGGATTGTCACATGTTCAACCACAGCTTGAGTCCTGGACCTGGAGGCTTGCTTTTCCATTTTTCCTGTCTCTCTCTGTGCCCTATAGTAAAAATTATAAATAAATTAATTAATTTTAAGAAGGTAAATAAATTCTAAAGAAAAAAAAAAGGGACTAACAGGTGGCATGGTGGTTAAGGTGCTAGATACTCCCATATGGCTGAGCCACAGTTCGAGTCCCAGACCTGGTGGCTTGCTTTCTCACTCTCTCTCTGTATATGTCTCTTTGCTCAAATTAAAAATAAATAAATAAATAAAAGACTAAAGACTGATTTTCAGAGAGCCAAAGAAAAAATGCACAGTGGCCAGATGTGGGACAGTGGTAAAAAACAACGTTGTGCGAGGCAATCCCACATGGGGAAGTTTCTGGTTCATGACCAGAGGCCTCCCCAAGTTGTCAGACATGTGTGCTCATGGTCTGGGGCTAGCTGAGGCTGGAGGGGAACCACGGTGTCAAGACCCTGTTAAAGGTACTCGTTCGCTCTCTCTCATGGTGTGATAAACAGATTAATTTAAAAAAGGAAAAAAGAAAAGATGCACAGAGGCCTAGGTAGCCAACAACAAAGACAATTTCAGAGGAATCTGTCATTGATCAGCCAGATTTTTTCAGAAGTCAAGTCCCTGGAAGCTATAAAAGCCAGAACTGACCCTCATGTAATCTAGAAGCTTCAGAAGGCTTTGATCTCTTTGCATCTTTAGCTCCTAACACTGCCTGCTGGAGAGACAAGGCCCTCACCTCAGATACATATCAGGAATCCCAAAGGTCCTTTTGATGTTTCAGGGAAGAACACAGTAGCTTAGCTTAGAACTGCCTAACTGAGAGGTTTGGATCCCACGACCACAAGTGAGCTATCTGGGCCACCTTGACAGAAACGACGGTGCTTTACCGAGAGACCACATACACGACCCCGACTACTCTAATGGCCAGTGCACGATGAGTCAGAGGCAGGGAGGACACCGGAGCTGGGACTGACTTCTTCAGAAGTGCAGGAGCAAACCAAACCAACTCGAAGAGGCCAGGCTCAAGAAATTTTATTTCATAACAGTTCCAGGTAAGGTGAGGTCCAGGTAAGTGCACTGTGCTCGAGCTGTTCCTGAAAGTTCGAGCTATTGCTCTCCAGGATATAACTACAGAGCACGGACCTGTACGCGTTAGAGCACTCACTTCTAGGACAGTTCTATAACTAGAACCATGATCCCAACTTCACAGAAACCACCGTTACTTGTCCAAGGTCAAAGCTACTCAAGGCAAAGAACAGATATCCGTGCGGTCTGTTATCAGTGCTCCTCCATTACTTCGTGTGGCCTTCTCAGCACAACAAGGGAGACCAACATCGTCCACGTGGAAGGGAAACGTCTGCCGGGAACTCTGAGTTCCTTCCAAAACAGAATGGCCCAGAGAGCCCCTAGTCAAGGACAGCGTGACTGGCAGTGCTCGACATTCTAGGTACAAATGGAAAGATCTCTTTCCACCTCACTTCCTAATGAACAGGGTAATTTCCTAGTGAAAGTGGGGTCGATAAGCAGGCAGGATATCATTTTGTCTGATACACGTATAAAGGAGGTCCTTGGGGCGTTGCCTTTTTATACTCTAGTGTAGAGAGGGAACAACAGAGATGCCACACTAGATCTTGGAAGTAACTTTTCTGACCGAAGTACTGCTATTAAGATAAAAGTCTTTTTTTTTTAAATTTTTGCTAGAGCATGGAGAGCGATGGAGTGGGGCAGGGGAGGTTTGGGGGCGAGAAAGCGCCCCTCATGGGGGATGTTCACACCACCCTTTGCCTCCGCTTTTCCTTTGAGGGTTTTGGGCATGTACACACACAGTATATATTTTTTTCAAGCAGCTGAATCTGGGAATCAAACAGTACAGTCAGCCATGTGGGATCCAGTGCCTTGACCACCGCCACCAGCAACATAACATTATGCCATCTGCTGGTCCCTCATTTTTGAAATTTTTTAATTTGCCAGAGGATGTATGTACTCACCATAGAGACAGAGAGAGGGAGAGAGAAAAACCACCTACCAGTGGGGTGTGGCCAGGCCACAGTCCCTTTTCCAGCATTCCTCCAAACTGTCAGGGCTTGGGGCATGCATACATACCTGTTGCGTTTTGCAAGTTGTAGGGGCCAAGATGTGAACCACACAGTTGGCCTGTGGGATCCACTCCCTTAACCACTAGGCTGTGGGGCTGGCCCTACGTGCTCTCATTTTAGGGGACAAAAGTAATTATTTCCTTTCATGATGGAGTATTTTAAACAAAGACAGATTCTTAAAGGGTCCTTTATTCATAAGAAGTGTTGAGATTGTAAAAATGGGGTCAGTAGGTAGCATGGTGGTTAGGGTGCTGGACTCCTACATGGCTGACTGTGGTTCGAGTCAGCAGCTTGAAAATCAGGTTCGGCATGTGTGGTGCATGTCCAAAATCCTGAGAGGAAAATGGAAAAGAAGGGATTGTGGTGTGGCCATCCCTCTGAAGGGTGATTTTTTCATTTTCTTTCTCACTGTCTGTTTCTCTCTGGTAAGTGCAAGCACTCTATGGCAAAAATTTAATTAATTAATTAATTAATTAAATTTAAATGGAGGCAAAGCTTTATCTAAGAGAGGTGGGAGTAGAATGGTAATAACCTATTAAAGAAGATATGGGGGCCAACAGGTGGCATTGTAGTTAAGGCTCTGGACTCCCACATGGCCAACTGTGGTTTGAGTCCTGAATTTAGTGGATTGCTTTCTCACTTTCTCTCTCTTTCTCTCCTGTGTGTGTCTTTCTCTGGTGAGAAATTACAAAACAGCAAATTACAAAAATACTACTACTATTAAACAACAAAAAAATTTTGAGAGATTTTGACTATATGGTATGTGCACTTGCAAGAGGGACAAAGAGAGACAGAAAGCAAGGAGTCACCCCAGCCCCCCTCGCCAGGGGATGGCCACGTCACAATCCTTTCTCTACCATTCTCTTCTTGGGATTTTGGAGATGCACAAACACGTGTCCGGGTTCAATTTCAGGCTGCTGGGTCTGGGACTCAAACTGCAGTTAACCACGTAGGAGTCTAGTGACATTACCATTAAGCTATCTGCTAGTCCCATAACAAATTCTTAAAAAAAAAAAAACAAAAAAGAAATGTTGGCTGGTAGTGGTGTGGTGGTTAAGACACTGGACTCCCACATGGCCAACCGCAGTGTGAGCCCTGGGCCTAGCAGCTTGATTTCTCACTTTCCCTTTTTCTCTCTGTCTGGTTAAATTTAAATAAATAAATAAATAAATAAATAAATAATTCTTTTAATAAAAAAGAAGAAGAAGGAGGAGGAGGAGGAGGAGGAGGAGGAGGAGGAGGAGGAGAAGAAAGGACTGATGTAGTATTCTTGTCATAATTTAGACTTTCCCCAAAAGTCTATGGTTGTAGCCTGCCCCTGAGAAAGGCTTCTAGGAAGTACCATCTCTTGGTGAGTCAGACCAAAGAGGATTCGGGCTGCTTTCCTTTTGGGTTTCTATGAGGGGTGCTAACTTGAAACTGGTGGCTCTGGTTCCCTTGGCTATTTCAGTTCTAGTTCTGTCAGCTCAGCTAACTTCATCAGGGTCCTGACTCCTCCTCCTGCCTTGGTCGGAAAAAAAAAAAAAAAAAAGTTAGGAACTTCCAGAAGACAGTTTTTAAGTTGTATCTATAAACCTTCTTTCTTTTTATCTAAAATGGTTCTCAACTCATTTAACAAATACATACTTCCCAAGGGAGACTATATTTGTTTTAAACAAATTCTAGTAAAAGCACCAATATCTACTTTAACAAGAGTTTATGGGTATTTTTCAGGAAAATCTACTATAGCATTGATTTAATCTTGTATAATAATAAAATTCTCTGGTTTTGAACAAAACACAGAAAAGACCAAGGTAAACTGAAACCAGTCTGACAGTATTTTCAGCAGAAGGAATCTCATCGTTCAGAGCCTCACAGCTCACAGTTGTGCGGATTAAGGATCTTTCCTATGAGGTTGACCGAGAAAAGTAGCAGGGCTGGAAACATTCTATCTTTGAGCAGGGTTGATAAACTATGGCCCGCTGCCTATTCTGGTAAAGCCTGAGAGCTATGAATGGCTTTAAATGATTAAATTACTAAGAAAGTCTTCAGTGAAGATCTGTTTTGTGACACGTGAATGTTGTGAGTCCAATGCTCGGTGTCCACAACCGAGTTGTGGTGGAACGTGACTGCGCTCCATGCACACATTACCACAGCCACGGAGGGGGCTGAGCAGCTGTGGAACTGCGCGGCTGGCGCGGTCTGAAATACTGTCTGCTTACAGAAGAAAGTTTGCTGACTCTCCAGCTCTAGATACATGCTGCTCTGAGAGAGATAGAAAGCGAGAAATCACGCCCAGGGGGGATGGCCACTCTGCAATCCCTTCTCCTCCATTCTCCTCCCGGGATCTTGGGCACGCATGCACACGCGCCCGGCGTGAGTTTAAGCTGCCGGGTCCGGGACTCAAACCGTGGTCGACTACATGGGAGTCCAGCGACATAGCCATTATGCTAACTGCTGGTCCCAGCATTATGGAATTTTGATTTGGGGTATAAAACACAAGGTTACATAAAAACCTGAATGCAGGCCCAACCACGGTGGCCTGGACCAAATGGAAGGCCTGATTTTAAATCTTAGCGTGCCCTAAAGCCTGGGCATGTGGAGTGACTCAGGAGCCTGAGGAAGGAGGATAGTGGCTTGAAGCTGGCCTGGGCAACCAAGTAAGATCCGGCCTAAAAAAGAGCCAAGCGTGGTGGCACCCATCTAGAGCCACAACTGAATCAAGCATGATGCTCCTGCCCCAGCATCCCAGTAAGCCAGGGTTAAGGTATGGACATGTCACTGCTCTGCATATTCGGGAGACCTGGGATCCAAACCCAGACCTCCCAAGCAATGGAGCTACATGGGCAGACGGCAGTGAGGAAAATCCTTTCAGATTTAATTTGTCAATCATTAAAAAAAAGAAAATAATCATTACTACAATCCTTTTAGGTCTCAAGCCATTACTGTTTTTCTTTTTTTTGGGAGGGGGGGGAGAGCTTTTTGCTACAGGGTGAATGCACTCACCAAAAAGACAGAGACAGACAGAAAGACAGAAAGTGAGAAATCACCCCCACAGGGAGAATGGCCATGCTGCAATCTCTTCTCCATTCTCCTCTTGAGATCTTGGGCACACACATGCGCCTGGCGTGAGTTTAAGCCATCAGGCCCAGGACTCGAACCGCGGTCGACCACATGGGAGTCCAGCAACACAGCCATTACACCATCAGCTAGTCCTGCTTCATTACTGCTCCATGACTGTTTCACACATGCAGTACCTTGTTTACATCGGAAAATCCCTTCCTGATTCTTACTGCAAATGTAATTGAGAAAGAGATCCATTTCCTCAGACTCCACAGTGGTCCTCTTCTTTCATTGTCTTTACTTATTGTAGCTATCCAGTCTAGAAAAAGAATCTTTGTTGGCTGTTTCCTTGTGTCCTCTGTATTGGAGTCTAAATAGCAATCCACGCCTTAAGACAATGTTCTATATTACTGTATCTTTCTTTTATACCCATGCAAGTCACTGGAGCCTTTTTGTTTTGTTTTGTTATAGAGTGCATGTGCTCATCTGAGAGACAGAGAAAGAGAAAGAAAAAGAGAGAAATCACCCCCCCCAGGGTGTATAGCCATACTGCAAGACTTTCTCTTCCACTTTTCTCTAAGGATGTTGGGCACACACATGTGCCTGGTGTGATTCTCTTTTCTTTTTCTTTTTTTGTGAAAGAGATTTTTTTCCTATAGGGCATATGTACTCACTGGAGAGACAGAGAGATGGAAAGTGAGAAATCCCACCCAGAGGGTTTGGAAATACTGCAGTCCCGTTTCCTCCAGTCTCCTCTCAGGAAAGGGCATGCATGCACATGTGTCCGGAGTGAGTTTCAAGCTGCTGGGTCTGGGACTCGAACTGTGGTCGACTACGTGGGAATCCAGCAACATAACCATTATGCCATCTGCTGGTCCCCCTGGTGTGATTCTCAAGTCACTGGTTCTGGATTCAGACCATGAAGCTGGCTAGCTGGCCCACTGCTCACAACTTTTGCTTTTATGTAAAATACTTCCTCAATTTGGCTTCTATTCAAGTTCACTGCCACCATTTCAGTCTAGATCCTTGGTCTCCACTGTCTGCCATGAGTTTCTAAGACTTCAAATCCATGTTCCGTATTTCCATCTGATGTCACTTCCTAAAGGCATGCTATTCATGTGCCCCTCATCCTCGGTTATACATTCCTACATTATAAAGGGTTAAAATAGGAGACAGATATTCTGACTTTACATTTCTTTGAAAAGAAGGAAGAAAGAGATAGAAAATGGTACAGATAGCAAAAAATCCCATAATTCAGCAATTTTACACTATGGAGTACAAATGAGCTAATGTACTATGGGGGGGGGGTATAAAAGAAGGTAGGTTCATGAACTTGCCTGTAATCATCATTATTTGTGAGAGTTTTTAGAAATACACAAACCCCAAAACCAACCCAGACTTACTCTGCATCAGAACCTTCCCAGATCAGCCCTAAAGTCATACTTTTCACAAGCTTCGGCTATATCATCTGATCTAAGGCCCACTGCGGAAACTACTGCTCACAGGCCCACTCCAAAAGGCCACGTTCTGGACCTCACAGAACCACAAATGTTCTCAGGAGTGAAGCAATGAAGTGTCGGTAACTTACCTAAGGGAGTTCACCTCGGTTTTCTGATGAGATGAGTCACCAGCCACGTGGCTAAGTTGTTGAGCTTGGAGTTTGGATTTGTTCTCTAATGACTCTATTGTTTCTTTCATTAGTAACACTTTAGACTTTAATTCATATTTTTCACTTTCGAGCTATAATTTAAATTTTAAAAATTAACAGGTATATACTATTAATTTCTTAATTTTATTTTTCTTAGGTAGTCTTTAGGTCAGATTTACTTAACAAAACCCACCGCTTTAAGAAATGTGTATATATTTTAGGTTCTAGATGTCAGATTATACATACACATTTACTTCTCCTCACTATCACTGGGAGAAAAAATACAAAAAAAAAAAAAGATAAGAACACGGAAGAATACAGTCACAACAGCAGTGAAGCAGGAAAGGAAACCATTAACACAGCAAGAATTTTGAGGAATTTCTAAAAAGCAGTAAGTAGAATGGACTAAATTGAGGAAAATCAGAATAGAAAATACTCTAACCTATACACAAAGTAGGTGAGACTTATGTAAGGAAATTAAAAATTTCCTGAAAGACATAAAACATAATCTGACTTAATATAGACAAAATGTTTCTGAACGGGAACATAATATTGTTAGTGTGTTAAAATTTCTCAAGTAATTATAAATTCAGTGAAATTCAAATAAAAATCTTTATGGTCCCTCTTTTTAAAAGGAGGTGGATTAGATTTGATTCTAAAATTAATTTAGAAAAAAGGTTAAGAAAACCAGAAAAACTTTGGGCAGAGAAGAATACATGCAGACTTGTCCAAAAGATATAAACAAACCAGAAAGCTACTGTAAGTAAGGCAGCATACTTTCACATAGACACAGACCAGCAAATACAGGAAAGTGAATAAAGTAAAGACATCCTATACAGGATGGTGTAATGGTTGTGTTGCTGGACTCCTGCGTGCTTAACAGCGGTTCAAGTCCTGGACCTGGCAGCTTAAAACTCACGCTGGTGCCCGTGTCTGTGTGGTGTCTCCCATCCCAAGTGGAGAATGGAGAAGAAGGGATTGCGGCATGGCCATCCTCTCCCCCCTTCAACCCCCAGATGATTTCTCACTTTCTGACTCAGTCTCTCCAGCCAGCGCATGTGCCCTACAGCAATAGAAAAAAACCTGGTTGGGGGGAAATCCTGTACAGATGTAAATTTAGAAAAGGTAACATTTTAGGGAAAAAGATAAACTCTTTTCAAATAGAGCAGAAATAGTCACTCACTTTAGAAAAACAAATTAGCTAAATTTCTACCTTATTTTACATATAAAAATAAATTCTAGGGAGTTGGCAGGTGGCATGGTGGTTGGGGTGCTTGACTACCATATGACCCAAGACAGTTTGAGTCCCAGACCTGGTGGCTTGCTTTCTCACTTACCCTTTCTCTTACTTACTTCTTTATTTACTTACTTTATGATAATAAATAAAATAAAATAAAATCTTTATTTAAAAAATTCTAGATGGAATGATGACCTTCATACAAACGTTAAAACCAAGAAATATTAATAAGAAATGTAAGTCTTCTAGTTAAAATTATGGACTGCCCACACATATTTTCCGTCCTCTTTCTGGAAACATTGTTAAAAATGACAGTAAAAGAATAAGAAAGTATGAACTCACAAGGACACACACAGAGAAAGTAAGTGACTCTGAAAACTTGTGGAAGACAGGAGCAGAGTGAGAAAATACAATCCAAAGCTGCACTCCTACACTGAGGTGCTCCTGACACTGCGGGTGTGTCTCCCACCCTTTCTAGGAAGCACTTTTAGAAAGAAAAAATATAACCGCCCCCAATCAATAGAAGGATTAGGAAATGAAGTTGAAGAAATCTTACAGAAACTAAGTAAAAGACAAAAGAAAATAGGGAGAAAAGATAAGTGCCTTGCAGGATCCCTTTAGGAGGTCTGAAATCAATTAATAAAAGTCCAGAGATAGGAAATAGAGAAGCACAAAACTGAAAACGAGATGAAAAATCCCAAACCTCTCAGAAGTAAAAACATGTCCTTTAGTAAGGACTAGAAACCAGAAGAGTGTCATACATCTCACAGAAAGTTAAGATAATGGGGGAGGGACTAGCAGCTGGAGTAATGGCTATGTCGCTGGACTCCCATGTAGTTGACTGTGGTTCGAATCCTGGACCCGGTGGCTTAAATTCACACCAGGCTTGAGTGTGTGCATGCTCAAGATCCCGAGAGGAGTACGAAGAAGGAACTGCGGTGTGGCCATCCCCCATAGGGGGTGATTTCTCACTTTCTGTCTCCATGTGTCTTTCTTTGTCTTTCTGGAGAGTGCACGTGCCCTATAGCAAAAACTTCTCAAAAAAAAAAAAAAAAAAAAAAGACAATGGGGGACAATTTTCAAAATTTTTAGAGAAAAATATTTCCCAGTCTAGATTTCTATATACAGAATACCTCAAAATGTCCTATTTATTATTTTCCAGGAACTTCTGGAGAAGGTACATCACCACCAGAATGAAGGAACTGAGAAAGAGAATGTGAGATTGAACGCGGAAAGGGCGGGAGAGGAGAGGTAAGTCATCTAAGGACAGCTGCAGGGAGACGCTCAGTCCGTAAGGGAATAGGACGGAGAGCTCAAAAAGGGAACCAGCAGATGGCATAATGGTTATATCACTGGACTCCCGCTTGCCGACAATGGTTCAAGTCCCAGACCTAGCGGCTTAAAACTCATGCTGGGTTTGTGTGCGTGCGTGCCCAAAATTCCAAGAGTAGAATGGAGAAGGGATTGTGGTGTGGCCATCCCCCTGGCCAGCACGGGGTGTGTGGGGAGGTGATTTCTTGCTTTCTGACTCTGTCTCTCTGGCAAGCATATGCGCCCTTATAGCCAAACCTCTGTAAGAAAAAAAAAAATTGAAGGCCAGCAAATGGTGTGGAAGTCAAGGTGGCTGAATCCCACATGGCTCATTTGCACGGTCAAGTCCCGGACCCTATGGCTTGAAAATCACACTGGTGCGTGTGCATACATGCCCCAAATCCTGATAAAATGAAGAAGAGATTATAGCATTCCATTCCCTTGGGATGCGATTCCTCACTTTCCCTCTCTGTCTCCAAAAAGCTCACGTGATCTATAGTAAACTTAAAAAAAAAAAATTGAGAGGTATATGGCAGAGATGTTAGAGCTCTCAACGAAAATTAGCATTAAGTCAATGAAAATCAGGTAACAAAATAAAAACAGAACAACATAAAGGCAGTGGTGAAGTTCAGGAAAAGGTCTGCAAGAAAAAAGGCAAGAGTGACACCATTCTACTTGGCTGAGAAGTGACCGATTGGGGCCACGATAACATACACACTAATTACTGGAGTAAGATATGTAAATAAAACGTGCTCAGGGAGTGGGGGAAGGCTCCCAAAAGGGCGAGCGCGAAGGCCTCATCCATCAGCAGAGAGGTCACTACAGATACTTCATCAACTCAGGGAGACCAAGTGGCACGTTATGCAGAAACAGGGAGGCGCACACAGGAGAAGGAGTTAGAAGAGTAGAGGGTGGTCGTTGTGTGGATAGGGAGATGGGGAAGGAATTGTTTTGGGGTATTAAAACTTTTAAGGGGGCCAGCAGGTAGTGTGGTGGTTAAGGCACTGGAGTCCCACATGGCTGACTGTGGTCTGAGTCCCAAACCTGGCAGCTTGAAAATCATGCTAGGTACATATACGTGCATGCCCCGAATCCAGAATGACGGAGAAGGGATTACTGCATGGCCGTTCCCCTGGCGAGTAGTTTCTCACTTTCCCTCTCACTGTCTCTGTCTCCCTCTAGTGAGCACACTCACCCTATGGCTAAAACCTGAAAGAAATAAAACAAACCTCTTGGAATACCATGGGTAAATATGGCACAAACAAGAGTATGCCATAGAAAAAGAGGATTAAAAATATGAACATTTGTGTATCCAGCATCTGGATTAAAAAATACAACTATATTTCCGATCCCCTGTCCACAGTAATCGCTATCTTGAGTCTCGTGTTTCTCATTATTGTCTTTAGTGTAGCACAATCATATGAATCCCTAAACATACCGTTTAACTGTGCTTTTATTCAAATAATTATTTTATGTAACTTTATTTATTTTTAATTTGATCAGAGATGGACAGAGTGACACAGAGAGAGAGACAGAAAGTGAGAAAGTAAGTGGTCAGGTCTGGGATTTGAACTGCGGTTGGCCATGTGGGAGTCTGGCACCCTTAACCACAATGCCACCTGCTGGAACCGATACTATTTAGTTTTACGTATGTGAAATTACACAACATGTTTTCGGAGGCCATTTCCTTTCCTGGCACAGTAATCTGTAAGATTCGAGCGTGTGGATTTTAGCAGCTATTGTCATTCATTTGTGCTGGTCTGTAACACGCTACTGTGTGAATTCCCATCATTTACCCATTTCCCACCAACTGACATCGAGGATGTTTTTCATTTTCTGCCAAGGAGTAATAAACATTGTAGGCTTTGTGAGCCGCTGATCTGTCACCACTACTCCACTATCGCACATATGTGAACAAGTGGGCTAGGCTGTGTTCCCAAACAACTTAATGGATAGCAACAGACCAGGGCTTGCTGGTACCATCAAGGTACACATCTAGAAATGGCACTGCTGGCTCAAGGGCATGCCTTGGCTGGACAGGGCCACATATTCTGCAGGGTACGAGTGTGCATTCCCAGGAGCTAACATACTTGCTAATGCTTAGTGTCTGATGACCTGAGAGCTGGAGAACAATTTTTCTCTGGTTTTGAAGTGTATCTCCCACATTACTGAGGTAGAACATCTTTTTAGGCTTATTAGCCTTTTGTAATTGCTTCCTCCATGAGGTGACTATTCACGTGTTGTTTTGTTTTTGTTCTGTTTTGTTCTGTGGGGATTGTGGGGATGGGTTAAATGTGCAGCAAGCTGCTCTCTCCAGTAGTGGCTTATCTTCAGTCTGTAAATAGGGACAGATGATTTTGTCAATGTAGTCCTATGTAACTGTGTTTTCTCTTGAGGAATAAACTCACTGTGTGTCTCATTTAGGGGCACACACTCCGGCACGTCACCTGCTCCCTGTGTGATCCTGGCCAAGTCTCCCCTTGCTTTGGTGTCCTTATCCGTGAAAGGATATTAGCATTAGCATTCACTTCAAATGGCTACTGTGAGAATTAAAATAATATGTATCAAATGTTGAAAAAAGTGCTGAGACAGAGTAAATGCTGTACAAATGACTACTACTGCTATTTCTCCAAAGTCAAAAACACTCTGTCCTGTATTTTTTTGAAAAATGTAGTTGGTTATGTTTTAAATGTTCAAGGCCGCAAGTAATCTTGACCTGATTTCAGGGTACGGTATGTTTGACGTATTTTGACGTGAACAGCCAATTGACCCAGAAACAACTACTAATAGTTCTTGTCCCATTGATTTGAGTTCTTTTATAGATTGTTTCCTTATATTTGTTGTTTGCTCACAACCAAGTGTTTTTCAAGAGAATTATTTATTTGTTTTTTGTTTGTTTGTTTTTTTAATTTGACCAGAGACAGAGAGAGAGAAAAAGAAAGCAAGAAAGCAAACCGCCAGGTCCAGGACTCGAACCGTGGTCAGCCATGTGGGAGTCCAGTGCCTTCATCTACAATGCCACCTGTCGGTCTCACTTTTAGCAATCTCTCTCTCTTTTTTAAAAAGAATTATTTATTTATTATTGTTATTATTATTTTTCACATGAATTTTGCCAAAGACAGAGAGAGAAAGAGAGAGAGAGTAAGAAAGCAAGCCACCAGGTCCGGGACTTGAACCATGGTCAGCCATGTGGGAATTCCAACACCTTAACCACCATGCCACCTGCTGGCCCCAGCAATCTCTGTTAAGCCTTGTCTTAATTACTATGATATTGAAGACATCATATTTGGTAGGAAAAGTCCAGTTCCACATTTTTCTTAAAATTTATATTTGATTACTATCTTGTTCCTTCATGTAAATTTTACAATCTACTGTCAATTTTCAGACACACACACAAACTACCTTCTTGGAATTTCAGCTAGAACTATATAAATTCTAAAGCAATTTGAGGAGAATTTATATTATGTTTATAAACATCATACCTGTCACCTCTTTTATAAATGTGAAATTTCTCTTACTCTGATCTTTTTAAATGTCTTTCAATAATATTTTCCATAAAAATCCTGTGAACTAGGGTCAGCAGTTATGGTGCTAGACTTCCACGTGGCCGACTGTGATTGGAGTCCCAGACCTGGCGGCTTGAAACTCACATCAGGTTTATGTGTGTGTGTACCCAGAATCCCGAGAGGAGCATGAAGATGAAGGACTGAGGCATTACTCTGATCTTTTTAAATGTCTTTCAATAATATTTTCCATAAAAATCCTGTGAACTAGGGTCAGCAGTTATGGTGCTAGACTTCCACGTGGCCGACTGTGATTGGAGTCCCAGACCTGGCGGCTTGAAACTCACATCAGGTTTATGTGTGTGTGTACCCAGAATCCCGAGAGGAGCATGAAGATGAAGGACTGAGGCATGGCCATCTCCCCGGGGGTGATTCTCTCTTGTGTGTCTCCGGCAAGCACATGTGCCCTCCAGCAAGAAATCTCTCTTAAAACAAAACAAAAAACTCTGAATTTACAGGGATCTTGTATGATTTATCACTATTAAAAACTGCATATATTTTTTTTCACTTATCTTACCTGGGATCTGTCATGCTTCTGGAATTCAATGTGCATCTTGAGTCATAGAATTCCAATGTTTTCATGATATCTGGAAATGTACCAGCTGTTATCTCTTTAAAGACTGTCTCTCCCACATCCTATTAGATTTCCTTTGAATTCTGATAAATATGTTAGACTCTCTCACTCCATTTTATTTTTTTAAGAGACAGGCCTTGCTGTTATCCAGGCTGGCCTCAAACTTGCAATCCTCCTGCCTTAGCACCCATAGTAGCCCAGACTATAGGCATAGGCTGGCTGGCCCTGCCTCTCTGTATCAGATTTTCTCTCCTGCCTAAAGTAATTAAAAATAGGACAAAATATATGAAACAAAGGTTTTCAAATTCTGAACATCAGACAGTGACAGACAGTGAGTGAGCCCTGAAACCAACAAGGAAACAAACAGGATGAGCTCTGCCAGGGCTGGGGCATTCTGACGGGAGGGTGTGGGGCTGTGGCTCAGGAAAGGAAACCAGGTGGAGCTCAGTGTTTTCCCTGAAGTTCAAGACGGAGCTGAGAATCACGGCAGGCCGAGGCAGCCAACACGTGTAAGGCAGACACTGGGAAAGCTGCAGAGTGAGAGCGCCAGAGACCTGCGACAGGGTCCCTGGAGTCTTTTTTTGGGGGGGAGGGGGAGATTTTCACTATAGGGCGCGTGCACTCGCCAGAGAGACAGAGAGAGACATAGAGACAGAAAGCGAGAAATAACCCCCCAGGGGGGATGGTCACACTGCAATCCCTTCTCCTCCATTCTTCTCTCGGGATCTTGGGCACGCACGCACACGCGCCTGGCGTGAGTTTTAAGCCACCAGGTCCGGGATGCGAACTGTGGTCAACTACGTGGGAGTCCAACGACATAGTCATTATGCTAACTGCTGGTTCCCAGGGTCCTTGAAGTCTTCAGCAGAGAAGAGCACAACCCAGAAAAAACTACTCACGGCCAGAGAAAGAACCGACGGTTAGAGGAAATAACACTCAGGACCTGCATGAAAGGCTGGGAAAGTCCCTTTTCCCATTGATCATTTGAAAATCTCACAATTCGCGGGGTAACAGGGAGTGTACTCAAAGGTTTGTTATTGTTTGTTTTTGTTTTTTAAAGAGAGGTTTTTGCTGTCGGGCACATATGCTCACCAGACAGACAGAGAGACAGAAAGCAAGAAATCACCCCCCAGGAGGGATGTCCACGCCGTAATCCCCTCTCTTCCATTTTCTTCTTGGAATCTTGGGCATGCATACACACACACCCGGCGTGAGTTTAAGCTACCCAGTCCAGGACTCGAACTGCAGTTGACTATGTGGGAGTCCAGCAATGTAACCATTATTCCATCTGCTAGCCCCTGTTATTTTTTTTAAATTAAATTAAATTTCTTTTTTTAAGAATTATTTTATTATTTTTAACTTTATCTATTCATCTATTTATTTTTAATTTGACCAGAGAGGGATAAAGCGAAACAGAGACAGTGAGAAAGCAAGCTGCCAGGTCCAGGACTCGAACTGTGGTCAGCCACATGGGAATTCAGTGCCCTTAACCATCATGCCAGCTGCTAGCCCATTCCTTTTAGGTTTTATTACAGTTTGTGCCCTCACTGGAAAGAGTTGGAGGGAGACCCAAGGGAAGCAAGAAATCTCCCCCAGGAATGGCCATACTGCAAATCCTCTCTCCTCCAGCCCTCTCTTGGGATTTTGGGCAGGCACGCACACATGTGCAGAGCAATCTTCAAGCTACTGGATCTAGGTAGGACTCAAATTGTGAAGTCAGTTATTTGGGATCCAGCACCTTAACCTTGATACTATCTGCTGGCCCTTCAAAAGAGTTTTATCTCAGTGGTAAAATTAGAAAAGCTAGGGGCCTGGTAGTAGTACAGTGGTAATACAACTAGACCCACATAAGGAAGGTCCTGTGTTCATGTCGTGGGACCTTCCTGAGTATGCTGGGATGTGTCCACATGCCCCTGATCTGGACCAGCTGAAACTAAGGGTGGATCACAGTGTGAAGACCCGGCTGGGGTGCCTGCTCTCTCTCTCTCTGAAGAAATAAATGAATAAACTTAATATTTCTTTTTTTTTTTTAATTAGAAAAGACTAATTGCCCATCTACTAAAGCAAGACTAAAAAGAATCAAGCTATTCAACTGCACTACAGAACTAGTCTCAACAGTATTTATAGGAATATAAACCAGCAACCAAGAAGATAAAATTCACAGCATCTGGCACCCAGTATAAAATTACCGGCATGCAAAGCAGCGGGGAAATACATGATGAATAAAAAAAAAACTAATCCAGATGACAGAATTAGAAGACAAACAAGAGAGTAAAGAATAGTAATAGAAATAAGCCAAAATGAGAGAGAAAAAAAGAGTGTCAAAAAACATATCAAATTGTTAAAAATCCTTTCTCAACACGGTAATGAAAAAGAAAGTGAATTTTACTTTTTAAAAAATTTGCTACTGGGTGTGTGCCCTTGCTGGAGAGACAAGAGAGGGAAACTGAGAAAGCAACGCCCAAGTGGATGGTCACGCCACAATCCCTTCTCCATTCTCCTCTTGGGATCTCGGGCACACAGGCACATGCGCCCTGAGTGTTCTCCAAGCCACTGGGTCCAGGACTAAACTGTGTAGTTGGCCACATGGGATCTATCTGCCTTAACCACCACACCACTGGCTGGCGTGAACTTTACTTTTTACACTATGTCTGTATTATGCAATTTTTTTTTTTAAACAAAAGTTAAACAATAATATCTCTAGTTAATATCTACTGAGTGCTTACGATTTGCAGGGTACTCTTCTAAGTTCTTCATATGTGTTAGTGTTTATTTTTCACAAAAACACTGAGAAGTACTAGCACTATTTTTACTTTTCAGATACAGAATGGGCCAGCAGGTGGCATAGTGGTTAAGGCACTGGACTCCCAGGTGGCCGACCACGATTCGTCTTGGACCTGGTGGCTTGAAACTCACATCAGGTGCATGTGTATTAGAAATCCCAAGAGAAAAGTGGAGGAGAAGGGACTGCAGCATGGCCATCCCTCGTGGGGGGTAATTTCTTGCTTTCTGTCTCTCCAGCAAGCATCCTATAGCAAAAATCTCCCAATACAGAAGTGGAGGGACAAAAGGTCAAGTAAACTTGCTGACAGATAACAAGAGGCAGGCGAATCTGCACCTGAGTCATCGCCCTCAGAGCACACTCCTGGCCTTATCATGTGCCTTTCTAGCATACTGCTTCATCATTTGAAAAGCACAGTCTGTAAAACCCCAACAGTCACAGGCATTCATGAAACACATCGCAGCCAACCCCGTTTGATAAATTACCTGATGATTCATGCATGTCAAATGTTCAACAGTTTTCTCTAATTCTGATTTCCCAAGAAGACTCATTTCCTGGATATTCTGAAAGATAATTTTATAGAAAATGTTTATATCAGATCATAAAACAAAATTACCAAAATAAACGATGCAAGCTCACAATACTATTATATTCCATTTGTCTTTTCATAAAACTTGAAAATGTTTCAGAAAGAAAATCATTAGACACTTTATAAAAATGTTGCTTTTGGTTTAAAATAAAGCCTAACAGGAGGGCTAGCAGATGGTGTGGTGGTGAAGGTGCTAGATCCCACACGGCTGACTCCATGGTTAGAGTCCCAAACCTGGCAGCCTAAAAACATGCCAGACATGCGTGTATGTGCGACCCAAACCCTGATGAGACGGAGAAGGGGCTGCGGCGTGACTACGCCCCACGCTTTCTCCCTTCCCCTTTCCTCTTCCTCGCTGGCATGTGCCCTCTGGCAACAAGAAAAAAAATAAAAGTCGAATAGAAATGAGCTAGTTAAGGGGACTATATAAGGGTGACAGAATCCTTCAATCATGTCTATGTAGACGGCTCAAAGAAAAAGTCCACTAACCTGGATCCTTGAGAAGAGTAGGGAACAGGGGAGGTAAGTCTAGAGGAAAAAAGCTAGACCTCAGGGGCAGCAGATGGCTTAAGTGGTTACATTGCTGGACTCCCACATGGCCAGCCACGGTTCAGTCCCAGACCCAGTGGCTTGAAAATCACACCAGGCACGTGTGCGTGTATGCGCAAGACCCTAGGAGAATGGAGAAGGGACTGAGGTTTGGCCATCCCTCCTGGGGGTAATTTCTCACTTTCTATTTTTCTAGCCGGTGAGTACAGGTGCTCTAAGGCAAGAAACCTCTAAAAAAAAAAAAGCAGCAGCAGCAGCTAGAGCTTGAAGTAGGTAATCATTAAAATCCTTGAAAACAGTTAATAGATTTTAAATGGGAAATGTGATCAGATTTATCAGGAGTCTTCAAAAGGTTCATGAAAAATGTATATTATCAAAAGACTATACATAAATTTTAATTAAAAAAAAGACTATAAATTTCAATGTTTTGGCACCAAAATAAATTCATATTTTCATTTCATCTTTCCATGAACTTTCTGAGGTTTTCTCATAAATCTTTGAAAGATAATTCTGACTTCAGTGTGACATAAAGATCTGAGATGGGCAAGACCAGGAATACAGAGGTCACTAACAGGGGTCTTTACAAGTTCTTGGAAAATGGGGATCATGGGGATCATAAATAAACTACACTGGACTTCACAGATGTTTTAATATCAAAATAAACAAGTTCTTTAATTGCTTTTATTCATAAGTTTTTTTTTTTTTTTTTTTTAGGTTTTTGCCTTAGGGCACATGTGTTCACTGGAGACAGAGATAATGAGCAGGGAAGTGCCCAATCACCCGCCCCATGCTGCAGTCCCTTCTCCTCTATTCTCCTGGCATTTTGGGCACACCCGCACATACACCCAGCATGATTTTCAAGCTACTAGGTCCTGAACTCAAATTGAGGTGGCCACGTGGGAGTCCAATGCCTCAACCACAATGTCACCTTTTGGCCCCTCCACAAACTTTTTGATGTGTCCTGTATAATAAAGTAGGCGAGAAGGAGTAAGGGCCAGAAGAGATGGCAGAGGAAACAGAGAGAAGTAAACAAACTTAAGAGAAAATGGCATGGCTCCGGGGCCAGAGTCCATGGGACTCACAGCTGGGTGACCGTGGGCAAGTTATTGGATCTCACTCACAAGTCCTCGTCTGGGGGCTGGCAGGTGGCGTGATGGTTAAGGAGGCTGGACTCGCACATGGCTGACCACAGCCCAAGTCCTGGACCTGTGAAGATTTACTGAGATAGCCCATATAAAAAGTACTTAGAAACTCATAAAAGGGATTAATAAATGTTATTAATATGAACAAATATTCAAAAGGTAGCACTGAAGACTTGGTGATTAACCCCGAGAAATACGCTTCCAGGGAGAGCTTAGTTACTGGTGATGCCTGGAGTTAACGACTGGTGGATAGGGATAGTCTGGAACACTGGACGAGATTTATAGAGTGGTTCCGCTTTTAAGGAAAAGGCTTGTTGTGGGGCCAGCAGGTGACATGGTGGTTGGGGCGCTGGACTCCCACATGGCTGACCATAATCTGAGTCCCAGGCAGATTGAAAGTCACACCGGGCACATGTGCATGCATGTCCATAATCTCAGGAGGAGAATGGAGGAGAAGGGATTGTGGCATGGTTGTCCCCCCCGCAGGAAGTGATTTCTCACTTTCCCTCTCATTGTCTCTCTCTGGTGAGCACATGAGAGCTAGGGCAAAAACCTAGGGAAAAGAGAAAACGAAAAAGGCTTATTGTAAACTCATAAAATCCTACCTTCTGTAACCCAGAAGGATTCTAGTAAAATATATGTCATTTCCCCCCCAAGTTTTCAGTACTACTGCATTTTTTAAATCCTATTTTTACATCCCTTGATCATTTCCACAGATATGGAAAAGGATAAGTTAGTAGTTTATGTTAAAAGCTGCCATACTGCACATAAGTTTTCCATTTGGTAATCTTAACACGTTTTTTTTAATAAGAAAATACTTTCTGACAGTCTTCCAAAAGATTCTAATTAAAAATGTACAAAAATGGGCAAGAAGCACATAAATAGATGCTCACCATCATTGCCATCAGGGAAACGAGAATCAGAAACCACAAGACACTTCCCCACATCCACCAGGGATGATAAAGAGACAATAACACACACTGGTGACAATGTGAAGAAACAGGACCCAAATAAAGACCAAATTACCACCCGATCCAGAGAATTATCACACTGCCAGCTCTATGATCCAGAGAAAACATAATCCAGATGAGAAGTTGTACACAAATGTTCTTAGCATTTTTCACGGGTGAACCTCAACATTACGGTAATGCAAAGTCAGACACCAAAAACTCCACATACTGAATGGTTCAATTTACAAGAACTATCCAGAGCAGCAAATCTACAGAGACAAAAGTGGATTGGCAGTTGCCTACAACTAAGGGGTCTAAGGGGAAACAGAGAGTGATGCCAGTAGGTACAGGTTTCTTTTTGAGGTAAAAATGCTCTAAAATGCAGTGATATTGTAACAGGGGCCTGCTTAGCCAGACTGATTCCATCTTGCTAATATCAAAAACTGTTTCTCTCTCAGCCTCATACTCTGTTGGAAATTTCTCAGAGGAACTCCAGGGATACAAAACAGTCCACCTGGAGCTTGGATGCCCTGCCCCAGCCACAATCTGAAACTCCTATTTGAAAGATGAATCATTTGACTGTACCCCTTGGCTAAGACTGAAGCTCCTGTTTCAAAGACAAATTCCTTGATTGTGCCCCCCAGCTAAAAACTAACCGGACCTCTGCTCTTCTACAGATAGCCATTTGCATCACGGCTCCCTCCTTTCCCT